TCATTTGAATATCAGATATTGGTCTGGGATTTGCAGGTCAGATGTTGGTTTTGTAGATTTTGTTCTCATTGTAGCTGATCATTAAATGTTGGTTTCAAGTTCTCTCATTTAAGTCCTTCCAGTAGATGAAATTGCATCAGATCTAGAAATTAACACAAACGTCAGATATAGCTGTTACTTCCTTTATGACGGTATCATCATTTTTTTTATTATTGTATTCTTTGCAATTGATAATAGAGGTTCTTATTATATTTGACAATTTCATAGTTAGTTTGATGTTCTTAAAGAAATAAGCAACCAGTGAGCCTGATAATTTGTTTAGTTCAAGGTATTACTTTCTTTCCTTATCGTTTCTCAATTTGGTTGTGTGTGTTTGTATGAGTCTATGTTTATCTTGCAAATCACCATGAGTCAATTAGTTGTTTCTAAAAAATCCTAGATCATTGTTGTTGCGAGACACTACCTTTACTCTCCTTCTGTGGCTATCTTTGTTTGTTAAAACCACCACCTTTTCTATATATCGTTCTTTGCCCTTCCCCTCTCTGTCTCTCTATCAAAAAACTACCTCATAACTTCCACATATTAGGTTCCTCTATGCCTCCTTCTAAAACACCGGTGCTGCTGACCATCGTCTTTGTCTAAATTTGTGTTTATGTGTGTTTACAGGACCTGAAATGGATTGATATAAACCGAGATCTCAAAGAAATTTTGGGTAAGCTTCTTAAGATCTGAATATGATATTCTTGTTGGGTTTTTTGAGCTCTTGTAGTTGAATGTTTAGTTTTTTGTTTGAAAGTTGCAATATCTAAGTTTTTGTTATTGTTTGGGGTAAACCCATTTGTAAGTTTTGTTTTTGAAAATTGCAATGCATAAGTTTTTGGTTTCATTTATTGTCAGACAAAAAAAAATTTAACCGACAAAATTTTGTGAATTTGGGTTGATTTGTTTCGAATTTTATCATATACATATTTAACTATTGTATCATTCTCATATTTGAAGGTTCCATATGAATAATAGTTTCTTCTTTGTTTTGTATGTATCATGTACAAGAACATGGAAGTGTTTTGTTCTTAAGGTTTCACATGATTAATAGTTTCTTCTTTGTTTTGTATGTATCATGTACAAGAACATGAAAGTGTTTTGTTCTTAATATTTTCTGTGTAAATGAAAAAATAAGCTTTATTTGTGCATGATACCATTTGTGAAAGAAAGTTTTTTGTTGTTAATGGTCATGTATCTTTCTTTAACATTCGTAATGATGAATTACTGGTGAAAAGGATTAGCGGATCAAAGTTTTTTTTTTGAAGTGTTACTTAGGTGTTGTTTGTTTTTTCTGATGCAAAATGTCTGCAGTCTGCGGACCACATCTGTAGACCTCTGCAGTAGAAGATGTGGACCAAACGTCTGCAGTCTGAAAAAAGAAGATTGTTTGTTTTTTTAACATCTGCGGGCTACTAAAATAAACTGAAATCTAAATAAACTGATTTTTTTAAACTTCAAAGTGTTTTTTTTAATATTTTTTATGACTTTGTTATAAATAATTAACAAATCTATATCAACTTTTATATATTATTGTATAAAAAATAAAAATAAAAATGGTATTAATTAACGTATATAATTGATAAAAACCAACAACTTTGGTTGCAAAGTTATAACTAAACATTATAATTAAGGATCAAAGAATTTGATATATAAATGGATGGAAATAAACTTCGATTTTTTCAATTAAATCCATTAAAAATGTAGCATAATTATTTTCTCGAGAAATTGACGATAGTGTATTAAATAATGTTTTACAAAAATAAATCTTTATTTATAAATTTGTCAAAAATATCATGTTTGTATCGTCGAACGTTTATTTTTAAGTTTTGTAATTTTTTTTTTCAAATTGTTTATCATTAATAAAGTTGGAAAAAATATAAATTAAAAAAAAACCTAAAAAAATATAGATATATGTGTTTTTTAGGCTAGAAGATGTCTGAAGATGTTAGAAGACTCTGGTCCACATCTGCGCCAAGAAGAGGGCGCGCAGACATTTTTAGGTCTGCAGTCTTCAAAAAAACAAACAGTCTGCGAAATCTAATGTCTGCGCGTGGTCTGCGCGGCGCAGACAGAAGAGGCCACGCAGATCTGCAGACAAAAAACAAACACCACCTTAGTTTTCAAACATCCTTACATATTAGTTTAGATGTTTAATAAATAAATAATATACATATATAATTATAAATATTATATCATTAAAATAATAAAATAGTGTTTAAATAAAGATTTGTTATTGTTTGTATTTGAAAGTATTATTATTTTAGTTTATAAATATGTTTACTTGTATTTGTTTAATTTTGAAAAACTTTGTTACAAATCGTAACATAACTACAAGATAAATAATATAAAACAATTTATTGGGATGTGAAGAAATATTAGTTAACTCAAGTTTAACAAAAAAAATTCCGGATAATAATTTGGAAGTATTTGAGAATGATAAGTTTAAACATATTATTATGAAAGAATATTTTAGTAATTAAAGTAGATATTTTATCAATAAAAAATAAATACCGTAATGAATTATTTTATTTTCAAACAACTAAAATGAAATATACATAACTAATATATTAATTACCAATGTCTCCCTAAATAGTTTGGTTTGCGTTACCTTACAAAATCAATCAATGTATTTTTCTTTTTAATCTAAAATCACATATATTATAGATAATGTTTCTAAAATGAAACTAACAATGGAAAAAAAATTGTATCGATAAAAGAACCTATAAACCAACAAGTGACTATTACTAGAAAGTATTTGCATTCAACAAATCGACGCCCCAAAAGAAACCATAAACAAAAAAAGACTATATACCAATACAAGAACCTAGAGCAATATATTACACCCGATAGGAAATTATTACGCCCCACATCTACTTACCTAGCTAAAAACAATTCCCCGAAAGGACTATCCGACACAAAACAAGCCCCCGACGAACTATCTGACAAGAAAAAGAAACTAAACGTCGCATGGAAACTATAAGTCATAAGAAACTATCTCGCGTCGTAGTATCGCGCGGGTACGCTATATATATATATATATATATATATATATATATATATATATATATATATATATATATATATATATATATATACACTTCGGATGGTAAGCTATTTAGAAGTGTAATCTCTTAATACATCAAAATAGCATACTATATCACAAAAATTATTGTTTATACTTCCGCCACAACGTGCGGCTTAAAATTCTCGTTTTTAACAATTTACTTTTCTTTCTAACTACATAACTTTGTATATGCATCACAACTCCAAATTTCAAATAACATTAAAAACCAATTTTTATGTTTATTTAATTGTTAATAACAATAATTTAGTTATTTTTAATATAACATACTTTTTTCCTATTGTAATTAGGTATAAAATATTTTATATCAATGTAACGCACGAGCATTCGTCTAGTTTTAAATAATTGGTTATCTATGGACTCTTTTAAATATTCGGTTTTATAGAATAACTTTTATAGAATTAAATTTTATAATATTTTATATATGTTTTTTAAAGAATTTTTATTTCAGTTTTAATATTTTTGTTTTTGTAAGTCTTTTTATCCCTAGTTTTATAGGGTAACTTAATAATTATATTTTCCAACTTTCAATAATAGGACCGATGTCAAATAATTTTACAATTCAGTATGACACATGATTTTCTTCAAAAAAAAAAGTCTTGCTTGCCAAACAACCAAGGTTTACGTACATGATCAACAGTCAACACAAATTTTACATCATACATCCAAACCATTCTAGCCACTAATAATACCTCACCATATCCTCTATCGAGCTTCATCATTTTTACGTATATCAATTGATCTCTCACAAACACATCCAAACAACGCATAAAGGAAAAAGCTAATCGCTTGGTGCGTTCCAATATTTTATAACCAAAACATTGGCTAAGAACTTTCAAGATTTTAAAAGATGCAGTTCATAACACACACAATCCAAGCTTTCAAAATAGTTTTGCTCACACACCACAATACAATCATACTGACTATTTATAGTCCCCAAATTATATTTTCTTTTGATGGACTCACAGGCCTATGAAATCACCAACATAAGCTGGGCCATGATCATGATAGCAAACTTAGTCCCCAAATTACTAGACTAAATCGAAGTTCAGAAATTGGGCTTCTAATAACCAAAGACAGAAGGATAATGTACACCAAAAGCAAAGCTCAGATAATGAGTTTGATATCCATCCTAGCTGGATTGATGCACTGAGTTTGATACCCACATATGTTTATGTTTGAGCTCAGGAGTTCAAATCTTTGAACCTGTTAAATTTGCTTCTTGCAATTATGCCCCATGTGTGAGAAGTTTTCCTTGGAAATCTCTTTGGAGGCTGAGTTTGCCCAGATTTGAACCTATTAAATTTGCCTCTTGCAATTATGTTCCATGTGTGAGAAGTTTTCCCTGGAAATCTCTTTGGGGCTGAGTTTGTCCTTTCTCGAACTCTTCTCGAACTCTGGGTCACCATTAAAACATTATGGTAAGCCCTTTCTTCTCGAACTCTGGGTCACCATTAAAACATTATGGTAAGCCCTTTCTTGAACTCTAGGTCACCATTAAAATATTGTGGTAAGGCTTCCACTAAATCTTTCCAAAAGGTAATGAGTTTTACTCTCCAAAGTTGCTTGGCTTCCAAGTTTTAGACTTTGCTTCTAACTCTTGTTGTGCATCTTAGCTTTTGTTTGAAGTTCTACTTTTGACCTCGTCTGTAAACTTTGGGATTTCGCCCTTAAATCAGTCTCAATACTCACAATATTGTGCCCAAAATTTATTGCGATGTGTAGATTTTTTTTTTTTTTTTTTTTTTTTTGTTTAATTTTTGTTTTTAGTAGTTGTGTTTAGGAAATCTAATGTGATTTTCAACTTTTACCAAAAGTCAAAAAGTATGCTTCAATTAAAGATTCAGTGCATAAATCAAAGATATCAAACAAACTATAGTTAAAACTAGAATCAAAATTCCTTGTTACTTCGGAAAACAATTATCTACAGCATTTGAAACATGACGAAAGAAAACAAGCAAAGTTGTATGCTATTTTTTAAGCTCCAATTGTACCTTGGAAACCCGAGAATGATGATTTCAGTCTATATCTTTCAAAAACCAAGTCTGAGTTTTGGGCAGCTCGACATGGGGAAGCTCTGGAATTTTGAGATCACCAATTCGCGAGGACTCGATAAGGTTATTTGTAATCGATGAATCTGTTTTTTCTTCACTACCATTTGGTTTAGGAGGTGTTACAATCCTCTTAAAGATGCTACCAATGAATCGAAATGGGTGGTTTACTCCATCTTTTAGTCTCAAAATAATGGAGACCTCCGATATCTGCCAGACGACTGTGAGAACTATCATGGCTGAAAGAAGACAGTGTGTTATTAGATTCTGCCTCTTCATCTTCTTAAGCTCTTTCACTATCTTTTCTTCTTCATCTTCTTCTTCTTCTTCTTCCGATCTCGACTTGTTTATCTTCGTTTTGGTTTTCTCATCATCAACAAATTCCTGCTCAGCCTCTAACTTCTCCAACTGTTGTTTTTTGGGAAGAAAAGAAAAGAAAAAAAAAAAAAGGTCTTTTTATTCCTACCGATTACGATTCACAATGATCAATTCCAGACGCCGTGTTCGGCAGAATCGAGGGTTCATTGGGTGGATGATACGTGAAATTAACTATTTGATTTGTAGAGATTTGAAGAGAAAACGAGACAATCAATTAAGGCACAGAATTAGAGATACCTGAGACATCAATTTGGATAGGAGGCGGTGGTGGTTGTCATCTTCAACTTCGCCGCCGTCATTGGATGAGGAGTTGGCACCATCTCTGATCTCTTCCATCACTTCTTTTATGGCCTGTTTTATTACCTCCACCTTCGACATCGTTAACGACGACTCCATCTCTCCGTTGAATGATAAACGATCGATTGTGGAAGAGACACAGAGGAATATTCCGGTACTCTTCCAATTTTCTATACAGTCGAAATTTGAGTATTCTACCCCTCTACTGCCACGAGGATATACCCACCATCACACGTGCCAATGTTACATTCACTACAGTGATAAAAAAAATAGTTGAGAATAAGGGAATGAATCTGGACCAATCATTTCGAATATGTCGCTTAAGCGTTTAGCGTACCGGGCCGACGAAACAGATCATATTCATATATGAATAAGTGTATTTATATATGAATACGTATATTCTTATATGAATAAGTATAACGGAAATACTTATTTATATATGAATATGGCGGCTGTGGGTGGGGGCGGAGGTGGCGGTTGTTGGTTGTGGTTGGTAGTGGAGGAGGTGGTGGTGGCGGTGGTGGTTGGTGGCGGATGGAGGTGGTGTATTCATATATTAATACATTTATATTTATATTCATATATGAACATTACTCAACTTTTTTTATTTTTTCAATTGAACTTACATTTCTCTCTCTCTCTCTCTCTCTCTCTATATATATATATATATATATATATATATATATATATATATATATATATATATATATTGCATCATCTTAATATCTTCTATTTATGGATTATGTATTCAAAAAGTTAAATATAATTTATAGTTTGTTATTCTTTTTAAATAATATTATGACTAATTATTTTAGATAAACATTTTTAAAAATCAGATTGTATCAACGGTGTTTACTAACGGTTTTGAGATCCTTAGAGATGTTACAAGCTCGTTTTTTCTGGGGCGCGGATTTGGGAGAGAGATGTATGCATTGGGTTAGTTGGGATCGTGTTTTGGTGAGTGGAATGGAAGGAGGCTTGGGAGTGGGTAGTTTGTTTGCCTTCAATGAAGCTCTTTTGTTCAAATGGAGGTGGAGATTCTCTCATAGTATGGACCCCTTGTGGGTTAAAGTTGTCAAAGCTATTTATGCTGAAGATGGTGTTGTAGTTCTTTACATAGTGCTAGGTTTCCTCTAGGGCCTTGGAGTGGTATTATTAGATCTATCCGTCAGTTGAGAGACTGAGGTTTAGATCTTCTAGAATTTTGTATTCTGCATATTGGTGATGGAAAGAAGACTAGTTTATGGCATGGGAAAATGGCTTCGGGTTAAGATTTAGTGACCGACTTCAACCGGGTTTATGCTTTGGATATTAACAAGGGGATTTCAGTGGTGAATCGGTTTTCTTTAGGTTGGTTTTCGATTTCTTTAAGGAGATATCCGAGGGGTGGGGTTAAGCTTTCCTAATGGGAAGCTTTTCTGGAGTTGATGGAGGGAGTCCAGTTATCAGATCAGTCAGATAGATTGGGATGGTCTTTAGATGTGTCAGACTGTTTTGATGCCGCTTATGCACGAAGTTTCTTGGATAGTGGTTCTCTCCCTAATGGGAGTTGTGAAACTAAATGGAACAATTATGTCCCAATCAAGTTAAATATCCTCATGTGGCGGATTAATATGTTGTGTATTCCTACGAGGGAACGTCTTTCTTCTAGGGGTATATTGGTAGAGTCGATTGTGTGCCCTATTTGCTCGACATCGGTGGAGTCGGTCAATCATCTTTTTGCGGAGTGCTCAGAGTTAATTGATTTATGGGTCCCAGATAGCTTTATGGTGAGGTGTGCAAATCCCTTCACATCTCTCTTTGCAGTCTCTTGTTGGTTGGTTTGATTCAGTTAGACTTCGTTCGGGATCTCGAAAGGAGTTTGATGTTGTTGTTATAACTGCTTTTTGGGTTATTTGGAATTTTAGGAATTCCACTGTTTTTGGAGCGATAGCACCTAAGAAATCTTCTATTTTTGATGATGTGGTTGAAAGGTCTTATTTTTGGATTTCTAATAGGTGTAGGAAGTCTAAATTTCATTGGGTTGGGTGGCTTTAAAACTCTTCCTTATCTTGTGCTACTTTGTAATGGTTTATTTCTAGCTTATTGTTAGTTTTTTATTAAATCTCTGTCGTTCCAAAAAAAATAATAATATAATCTTTTACATATTTTTAGGGTTAATTAATTTAAAAATAATTTATTTTGATATTTTTAATTTCGACTATTTTTATCATTTTAAACATCACTAATTGTTTTTAAGTTAACATATATATTTTTTCAATTTTATATTACTTTTTTAACTATTGATATTGTTAATTAATTAAAAAACAATATTTCCTTGTAAATTTTCATTATTATAAAAAAATTTGATCAGTTTTTAGTTTTAGTTATTTAGAATTTTTATTTGTCCAAGACATCAATTCAATGGTAAAATACCAGATTAGGAGAAAAAAATTTATAAAATCAATAGAACTACAAAAATCATATCCTTTTTTATTCATAACATGCCTCACGATTTATATAATTAATTTACCTAAACTACTACTAATTATATGCCGAGTCAAAAAGAGGTCATACTCACAAATTGAATAACATGTCTTCCTTATGGAATTGATTGTATTTATCTACAAAGAACCTTCTTAAACATATCATCAACTAAATTCATTCTGTCACAACAAAAAAACACAATAAACTATCATCAATTCATATAATTTATAGACCCATTGTATATACTTTATTTCTTTTAAGAATAAGAATGACATAAAAAAAAAATTTTACATAATAAGAAGTAGAAAAGATTTATATTTTTTCCCATATGTTCTAATTTTGGGAAAAAAAAACACAAAGATTCATAAGCGTAATGATAAAAGGAAATGTTAACCCTTACCACCAGATAAAATATAAAATATCTACTTCTGAAAGATATTTATGTCCAAGAATCGTTATAAAATGATATTTGTTAATGACATATGATCATATATGGTGACGCCTTATACTAAGTTACTACTAATTGATTACTTATTAAAGTAATGATTATTAATAAACATAATCAACACTTGTATTTAATTGGAAAAACCATTATTTTATGACAATAATATTTTACCAACATATTATGAAGATAAAATGACTTAAAAAGGTAATGAAGTTTCGAAAAAAAAGACCATTGTTGTTTTTTTTAATACACAAAATATCATTGAACCTGCTATTGTAGGTAACTATCAGGTTATCTGATTATTAAATGTTCAAAACATACCATTGTTGTTTTTTTAGTACAAAAAATACCATTAAAGTTATTATTTGTACACAGAATACCAACGAAGTTGTAACACCCCAAAATTTTCAAACTTTTTCATGTTATGGTTTTAAAAAAAACATTCGGGTGTTAACCCACATTTAACAAAAACCGGTCCCACAAAAACATTTACAAATTTAAAATAGTGGATGTTACCATTAAGCATCAATACAACCATAACAAGCAAATAAGAATTACATCAATATAATTAATAAGGAACTTAACAAGTTCCACTCCATTCTCTATTACCTGACTTCTAACTTCCATCTATCATTCTCTCTCCTTAAGTGTGACCTGAGATATATGGCATTAAAAAGAGGTACGTAAGACATAATGTCTCGTGAGCTACGTGGGTTTGAGACCCAAAACATTTATCACTTTTTCATCAAAAACATTTCATCTTTGCAAAACATAGTTTTAGAACATAAAACATTTTCAAGGAAAACTCATTTCATACATGTCATAAATATCATTTCATATCTTCTCATTTCATTTCATTTCCTTTCATTTCATTTCATTTCCTTTCATTTCATTTCAAAAGCCATATTTCCATATTTCATTTTCTTTTATCATTAAGGGCTAATTCCGTTATTATATCATTGCCATTTTTATACTTAGGGTCTACGTCCAATAAAGGAACCACTCTCAAGTCTAGACCAATGTGGAAAGAAAAAATCAATCCACCAAGGCATCATTTCCATTAGGACATCTATCTCGCGAAGGGGAGGCGCCAGATTCCTCCAGTGCCTCTTATGAGGTATCATGGCCCGGGCAGTTTTCATTTCATTACTTTCCAATTCCTTTCATTACTTTCCATTTATTTTCATTACTTTCCATGCTTTACACATTTCATACATTAGTATCATCAAATCATTTCAAAAGTAAAGCATGTATATTTCAAAACATTTCAATCATAATTTCAAAACATTCGATCTTCCAAAAACGTTCTTTTCTTTCAAAAACATTTTTGCCTTTAAGACACTCTTTCAAAATACTCTTTCCAAAAACATTTGACGCTTTCGTTTCAAAACATTTCATATATCAAAGCATTGCATTTCATTATCATAAAATCATTTTGCCATGTACCCCAGAGTGGGAAAAATGCCAACACGTACTCACCTCAATCACACGTAGGATAGCTAGTCTTCTTCTAGTTCCTTTCCTTATTGAAGCACTCTCAATTAACACCTAAAAAATCTTTAATCCCACTTTCTTTTGCTTGGATGGTCAAATCCCCACTTGAATCAAACCCTAGATGTAGAAACATGAAGAAATCGCCATTAGAGCTCCTCCATTGCTTGCAAAACACGATCTGGTGAAAGAGAGGAAAGAGGATGCAACTTATTTCCAAAAGTTTACCATCGGTTCCCTCAAGTTTGCTCATTTTGCCAATTTCTACCATAAACTCATATTTGTGATTTTTAACTTAAACTTTGACATAATAAGTCCTTCTCCATCCACTATATAACTTTTATAGTCCATTCCATTAATTTAGTCAACCCTTTGGTCAACTCACTTTGCCAACTCGACACTTTTGGTCCTTTAACTTTTGAAGTTTTACTATTTCCACTTCTAACTTTCTAAATTTCATACAACTAATGATATGATTAATACTTGATGATTTATTTATATAAATCATTTTTCATTTATTAATTTATTAATTTATTAATTTAAGAACACAGTCTTAAATTTTTAGGATGTTACAGAGTACTCATGTGTTCAAATAAAACCTTGTGGTAACCGGTTACTTCAGATAAACGGAAAAATAACTTAAAAGTGTAACGAAGTTTCCAGAATATTCAAAAAATACCACACTTTTTGTTAACTTCGATGTTATCATATTTAGGGCTGTAAACGAACCGAACGAACACGAACGAGGGCTTGTTCATGTTCGTTCGTTTAAGTTAGCCGAACAAATGAACG